TATCCACTTTTGTCCCTCTCCATCACCTCCCCCTTCACATCTAAAGCTCTACAATAGCCTCTTAATAGGTCTGTCTGCATCTGAATTGAACCCTACCGTTATTCTCCATATTGCCCCTATGGTGCGACTTTTCAAAACTCCCAAGTATTTTCATGCCACTCTTTTCAACTTAAAACTCTGCTATGGCTCCCCACTGCTCTCAGGACAAAGTCAAGACTTTTACACATGGTTGGCATCTCTGCACAGCCCCCTCCCCAGCTCTCTGGCAGCCCGGGCTTGCACCTCCCTCTCAGTCACCCAGGTCATGCTTGCCTTCCTTTTTGCTTACATGTGATTATGGCTGTGCTTACAGCCATCACACAGCTTTGCACATGCTATTCTCTCTACATGGAATGCTTTCCCCTCCCACTTTGCCCAGTTAATGCCTATGCATCTTTCAGATCCCTTCCTTGAGCTCCACTAGGTCCCATCCCAATATACACTTCATCACATGCATTGTGTATCTTCACCTGAGGTGCTTGTAACAGAGGCAGTTTTACATTTGTTTATGACTGATTCATAGTTATGTCCCTTTGTAGGCTCCCTAAGGTCATAGACCCTCCCTGAGGGCTGGGATCATTTCTGTTTTTGCATTATTATCCCTTGCACCAGAAAAAGTATCCTGCACATAGTAGGTGCTCAATAAATGCTTAGTGAATAAATTAATGATGCAAGCTGACTCAAAAGCCATTTAATTTTACAGAGCACAGGGCCTCCTTTGATCTAGTATGAGAGTTCAATGATTCTGGGACTCAGCTGCACTCAGCAAATATATACAGGCCCTGGTGGTGTGGCAGGCGCTGTGCTCGGCCTCCTGTGCTATGCCACTACTGAGCACACAATAGTAACTCTGCTGGAACTGGGTAGGTTGCTCTGTGGCATTAATGCCCTCTGGTAGCATCACACTTGGGTATAAAGGCCTGTCTCCCAGCTGCTCAAGCATGTTGAGAAGTTAAGTAGAAAGGCGTGGTCTTCTGGGTAGATCCTCATCCCTCTTTCTGAGACCCGGTACCCCTTTGCCACATCCATCACACCTCTGGGTGGCAGGAAGGGGTGCCTGAGTTCTGAGGTTTGGTCAGGGGCACCCACTTCCTGTGTTAGGTGATTCTTATTAAAGGGAGTGGAAGTGGCAGGAGCCACTAGAGAAACATACTTCTAATTTCAAGCAGCTAGGTTATCTGAAGATCTTTACCACCACCACCCTCCCTCCTTGAAATGTTTACTTCCCCTAGTGACTTGGCTATTTTCAGTGACAAACACAGGAGCTCCTAAGCCAGGCAACTCTCTAATTTTGGCTTCCCCTGGGTTCAGGAGAAAGAAGGCAAAAGGTAGCAGATGCTTTGCTAGTGGCTGCCTCAGTGCCAGCAACCTGCCTGTGCTACGGCTGGTGCCCTGGGTCTCTGTTCCTGTCTGCCCTTCCCCACTCCCTCCGCCGCTGACTCTCAGCCATCTGACCATCTGCCTTTGCTCTGCTCCCTGCAGTCACCACACATTGCTACCTTGCTGACACTTGCAGTGCTTTTGGGTGCCCATCTGGCTCAGACCTTGGGAGGTATGGACCCCTCCCTTCTACCGCTCCTCTGATGCCCCGTGTAGGCTCTGCCCACTGCTGCCTGGACTTGGTGGGACAATAATAATGATTTCTAAATGGCAAGAAGGCCACCAGCTATTATAATTGGTGTAGCCACACCACGCCAGCACTATTGGGTGGGTGGAAGTTTTTTTTTCTAATCTTAACATCTTATTATATTAAAATATCTATGTAAGTGTTTTTTGACTCTAGATGGAGGTTTCTCGAAAGCATATTAATTATACCCAGAGTGCCTAAAATATGAAGTTATTGGTAAGTCCTGGTTGAACTGAGGCTGGGGAGTGGAGTGGAAAAGGGCATAGAAGATGATGTGCTGACATCAGCCCACCTGGAAGAAAGGAGGAAAAAGGGCCATTTGTGGTTGTCAGTCCATCCCCTCCCTCGGGGCTGGGCCTGGGGCTGGGGTGGCCCAGGGGCAGAGCAGGAAGCTGCTCTTCCTTGGCTTTGACACAAAGATTCCTGCGTCTCTCGCTGGGTGGCTCCCCCGCCCCCTCCACTGTGTGTGTAGCCCCACCCATGAGAGAGCCTTTTGTCCTGACAAGCAATGCAGGTGGTGCTAGGTAAGGAGTACATTTGGGAGAAAGTGGAAAAGAAAACGCTCTGATATTAGGAAAAAAGAGAAGATGGCTCTGTCATTTTTCTTTCTTTTCCTTTTTATAAATTATAAAAGTTTACATGTTCATGGGGAAAAGTCAACAGTTATAAATAAAAGCTTCCTGCCTTCTCCAATTCTATACCCCAACACCAACCACTTTCATTTATTTTTATTTATGTTTGTTAATTCTCACCCGAGGATAATTTTTTCCATTTCAGAGAGAGTGGGAGGGTGGAGGGCAGGAGAGAGAAACATCTACGTGAGAGAGACATATTAATTGGTTGCCTCCTGCACATGCCCCTACCAGGGTGGTGTATCCAACCTGCAACCCATGTACTGTACATGCCCTTGACCAGGAATTGAACCCTTGACCCTTAGGTGTGCAGGCTGATGCTCTAACCATCGAACATACCAGCCATGGCACCAACCACTTTTAACAATATTTGGAGAAGCCTTCTGGAAAACATACTATACAAAACTCTCTCTCTCTCTTTCTCTCCCCTCTATCTTTTCTCTATATAAACACACACACACATACACACACACACGTAGAGACAGAATTTGATGTTGCCATGTGATGGAAAAAGAAAATGGTGGTTGAAGGACTTAGAGTGGGGAATGGACTTGAGGCTGACCTGAAGAGGTTGTTGATGTACCAGACTGGGGCTCCTGAAGGGAAGAAGTGAAGACTGCAAGGATGTAAGTGGGGAGCAGGGGTGTCTTCAAATAAAATATTTGCATTGCAAAAATTTTCTTCTGCAGTTTCAGAGGTGAAAAATGCAATAGCTAATTGGCCTCAAATTCCTTAACTGAAAAATGGGATCATAATGTACATTCCTTACAGGTTTGTTGTGAGGATTAAATGGGGCCTTTTTGCTTACAGTGTTTAGTATTGTGCCTAGCGCCATGTGCTAAGCTTTATTACAGTGAGTGCTATTATTATTGCTGATGTTATGGTGGTTGCTGTTGCTAGAGTGCCTAGCACAGTGCCTGGTACAAAATTGACCCTGTAGCCATCTGCAGCCAGTATAAAGAACCTGATAGCATCTCTCTTCATTTCAGAAAATTCTTCTTTTTTTCCCACTGCCTTTGTTCCTTCCTTCTTTTTTTCTTGGCTGCTTCTAACTGCTTACTTTATGTTGTATGACACTTGAAGAAAACTTTCTGGTACCTGGTGGACATAAATTCTCAGAGGCCTGTAGAGATGTTTTAGGTAGCAAAGGTTCCTGCACATTTTTTTACTTCCTCTTTTTGCCTGGCCCAAGCTGTTGGAAATGATTAGGTGGGAACATCTGTGTACTTACTATCTTTTATACATTCTACCTGAGGTCAATTAGAACTGTTTACTTAAGAAAAATTCCTAAGAATCATTAGGGCCACTCCCTGATTACCGGGTACCTTTTAACAGCATTGACCCTGCAGCTCTCCTAGAGACATCCTGGCCTAGCAAACCTGTGCAGGGATACTCTGTGTGTTTCTACTTGTATTTAGAATGGCTGGCTGGAAACTCAGCTTTAATATTCTGCAAATGCTTTTTTTTTAAATTGTCAGTACAAATAAGCCTGCCTACGCACTCTTCTATTCTTCATTTATAAATAGGTTCAGCTGCCTAGCAATTAAACATACTATATTTTTGCACATGCACATTCCTTAAGGAGACATTTAGACTGTAAATGGCTTTTCCTCTTGTGACACTATTTGGAAACCATCTTCCTAACTTTTCCCCAACAAGTGGGTATATTTTGAAGGATTGGCAAGGAGACTTTTGATCTGTAAAGCCCAAGTCACCATTTCCAATCTGCACAGAAATCCGGCATCAAATTTCTAGCCTATCTTCATAGGGACAAGCCCAGGACCAGCTGATACCTGCACGGCGTGCTTTATATCATACGTGGCCACACATGCTTATGGCAGTGTGAAACACCTGTGACCAAGACAATGAGACACCAGAGAAAAGACCGATCAGTGGGTTCTGAGAAGGAGACGAGGATGTAGTGTTAGACGTAATTAAGTATTGATAAGGTTGAAGGAAGAGGCCGGCATTGCATACCCCAAGGCCCAGGAGACTGGCTTGGCAACTCAGAAGGGAACATACGGAATAACGCTCTTAGGTTAACCTGTCAGAATTTCCATTCTGGGTAGAACTGGGACTTGAATAATAATACCAAGTATTATATAACACTTCAGATATTGAATTTCATTTATTTCTCCACTTAATGCAATAAAGTAAGTAGATTAAATATCACCACTCTTTTACACACGGAGAAAATGAAGCGGAGAGGATGGACACTCAAGCTAGTCTCTGCACCCGACCTCACTCTGCGTTCCTGTCTCCAGTGATGCTTCACCTGACACCAGGGCGTAGGGAAGTGAGCTCTGCTGACATTAGAGCATTCAAGGCAGCAGTTCTGGCCTAGACTTTCCTTGGGGCTGGCCGGGTGTGACCGCGGGCCCCTCTCTAGAGCTCCCAGCCTGATTCCTTCTGGTCAATGTCAGGGGTGGGTCTGGACGATCTCTCCAGCAGAGCCCAGATGCTCCTTGACAATAGGCTGTAGCGGATTTGAAGGGCCAAGGAACTGGAAACAGAATAGGGCATGCGCAAGGGAACTGCCTTAGAAGGCAGAGAAAAGGCAGCGCCCGAGGGTGATATATTGGATTTACAAGCTGAGAGGCCAAATGACTCCATAGTTTGTAAGTAGTGAGTGTGCAAGAATTCAAGCGGCAGTTTGGTTAGTTTCAGTGTTCAATGAACCCAGGTCTGTCTTTTTTTCGTAGCCTGGAGCTCAGTCCAAGGCAGAGGAATCCGGTCGGACCGGTGGGGGGCTCCACCGAGCGCAGTCTCCGTATCTCCCCAGGGCCACCCGGCTGCCCAAAGGCTCCTCGAGGGGTCAGCGGGCGCTG